CTAAAGTAGGTGGCCTAGAATAAAAAGAAAAGAGGAAACAAAGGGATGCTGTCCTTTCAGGCCAGAGGCAGACCGGTCAGAGAACAGTATTTCTGGAATGTGAATGGTCCTGAGGTTACTATGAGGGCATCTGTGGGCTATGAAGGGCCATGAGGTTATCAAGGAGGTATCTGTGGGACATGTGCAGTCCTGAGGTTACCACTGAGGGATCTATAGGGAATCTGGAAGTCATGAGGTCTGTAATTCCACCCTTTGAGGTCGTAATGACCTTGTCAATCACTTTCCTTGTCTGTGGCAAGAGGTTGCCCAGACTAAATGAGGGCTCAAGGGACTCTCAAATTCTCATGGGTGTGTTGACTCATCGGAAATGTGTGACTAGAAGGGACTGAATTTCCTGTGAGATAAAAATAACAGAACGGGATCTGAAGAAGCAGGCGGGAGTGATTTCATGTCAAGCAACTGGGTTAGCACCAAGCAGCCCTTGCTCCCACTCTCCAAAAACTGGGTTCCTCAGGCAGCTCCGTTAGGGTGACCAGAGTGCACATGCCATGGCCCCTGGGACTGGGGGGCTCCAGTTCTCTTGAGGAAGCTGAGAAGGCCTAGGTCCAGGCGGCAGCTAAGGGACTCTCTCAGAATGGACTCTTTAGCCTCTCATGCTACCCCAGGGACATGGAGAAAGTGTTTTAGCACAGAGAAGGCAGGTTGGTACCAGTTTGGTACCTTGTGGAGATGGATATAGTGTGCTGAAGATCTGTTTCTCTTTCTTGTGGGAGTCCACAGTTTTCCTCAGGAGAACCTGATCTGTCCTCCCTCCCAGAACAGTAAAGAAGCAGTAATTTAAGGAAGAGGGAGGGGCTTCCAACCATCATGGCAGGGTTGACCATGCAGAGGGTTAGTGATCAGGATCCAGATTTCCCCAGAAGAACTTTCCTGCACCTTTAGAGTTGTTTATAGAATTTTTAAAATCTTTTATCTTAAAATTTTATTTTAAAAAATGGAGAGGGGGCATGCGCAGCCGCTCTCAGAGCTAACTTGTCGCTCTGTGCTCCAGGATCACTCTTGGTAATGCTTGGGCAACCGTATAGGGTGCCAGTGATTGAACCTGGGTCCACTGCATCCTAGGCAAGCATTCTACCTGCTGTACTATCTTTCCAGACCCCAGAACACAATGTCTTGCGCGTGGTAGTAGGCACTCCATAAATACTAATTGAACACATGTGGCCTCTAAGATTATGTTAAGTCTAAGAAAAATGTGCCTGGCATGTGGCTGACTCAGGTTCAAGTCTCAGCACTTCACGTTGGTCCCCTGAGCCATGAGGAGTGATCCCTGAGTGCAGCAGAATCAGGAGTAAACCGTGAACACAGCCAGCTGTGGCCCAAAAATTAAGCAAGAAAAGTTTGTGTCAAAGTGTCCTGCAACTAAAGGTGATGTGGCGATGCTGGCATCCTCTGCATGACCTGATCAGCCTCTTTATGTGGCCTGGGGTCCACTGGTGTCACGTGGCTCTCATGCACTTCTCCCCCAGTTCATTCACTGTCCTGCCCTTCCTTGTGCTGGCCAGTTGTTTCTCTTCTCTTAAGTGGAGACTTCTACTGACTTTCCCCTTCCAGGCACAGTTTCCTTGGCAGCCCTGGTTAGAGGAGACTCCTGGGATCTCTCTGAGGGGAGCAGGGTCTGACGCATAGACCTTTCCGCCCTGCCTTTCCCAACAGCTGTGGTATGGCTGGCTATTTTAGTATCCACCACGGGGAAAATCCTCCATCCAGACTCAGGATGGCTTTACAGCTGTCAGCTCTATTTTTAACACTTGCCAGGTTCTTAGGGAACCCCATTCCCAGCCCAGGATCATGAGGCCTCCGGCTTTCCTTCTTGCTCATGACTCCTTTTGCCTTTGGTGATCCCACAATACCAGTCCAGCCTGGCTCTGCCTCTGGTTGTGGCTCCAACTTCTTGTGGCCGCATTCTCTGTGCTTCCATAACTGCCTTGCCACAAGCACTGGACTGCCTCTTCTCTGTCTCCTCTAGTAGCAAGCTCAACACCTGCGTGTATCAAATTCAATTATTTGCTCAACATTTCCGAGCTACCTGTCACATGCAGGGTGGTGCTCATGGTGCTGGGGTATGCAGGTGAACAAATCAAATAAGGAATGCCTACTTTATTGTACCGTTTAGCAGGAAAGACAAGCAGCTAGCATTAGAGAACAGTTTGGACCATTAGAAAGTGCTATGGAAAGATGGGAGTAGGACATAATGGGCTGGAGCGATAGCACAGTGGGTAGAGCGTTTGCCTTGCATGCAGCAGACCCTGGTTCGATTCCTGTGCCCCTCTCGGAGAGCCCAGCAAGCTACCAAAAGTATCTCGCCCATACGGCAAAGCCTGGCAAGCTACCTGTGATGTATTCAAATGCCAAAAACAGTAACAACAAGTCTCACAATTTGTTGTGAGATGTTACTAGTGCTGGCTCAATCGAATCGGTAAAATTTAATGATGAATTTAATGATGACATTGAATTAGTATTGTAAGATCTTCTTTTTCACCTGGACACAGTTCAAACCAATGGTCCCCAGGTCCTTGAGACCATTTTTTATACTCTCTACTATTTCTGCTCCTGGTAGCTTTCTCTAACCAAGGTATGGTAATTGGATAGATCTGAATAGATTTGGAAAGAACCTTTTGGGATGTAACGTTTTTTTATATTTTTTTTATATCAGTGAAACACCATGAGGTACAGTTGCAGATTTACAATTTTTTGTGCTTGGGTTTCGATTATACAATGATCAGATACCCATCCCTCCACCAGTGCCCATTTTCCACCACCATGGATAATATCCCCCCCACCCCTATCCCCCCATCCCCCCTGCCTCTGTGGCAGGGCAATGGGATGTAACTTTTTAAACCAGTGAGACTAGGCAGGTCTTTCATAATTTCCCCCTCATTTCACAGCAACATCCCAAAAGCCTAATATTAATCCAGCATACATAGAAAGTTATCTCAGAATGGAGAAACCCTGGGGGCCGAAAGGAGCAAGTGACTGGCACATCTGTAACTCTACTTGCAGCAAGTGTCAGTAGTTAGAAACTGATAGAAGTGTTTTAGAATCACCTGGAGGTTTAACCTGTAGTCACAGGACTCTGTTCAGTGAACCATTCCCCAGGTGATTCTGATGCTGGCAGTTTATGGAATTGTGCCACAGCATAGGGTAGAGGGTGGCACAGGACTTGGTCTGTGGTGGGAACTCTAGAGAGAGTGCTGGACATTGGTGGTCCTCAAATCTTAATTTGCATCAGGCTCACTTGTAGGGTTAAACTGCGGGTTGTTGGATCAACCCCCAGAACTTCAGGGTCAGTCCCAACTCTATGCATTTCTAAACAGATGCCACCAGTGTAGCGGGCCCATAGACCACATTTTGGGACCCACTGAGGAAAAGCATTCAGGACCAGTTGTGTTTTGGGAATTAGAGTTTCTGTAAACTTATTTCCCATGGACAGAGTTGAAGTTAATTTGAAGATGATAAAACTAAACCCTTGTTTGGAAACATCCATGCAAAGAGATTTGAGATGCTAAGTCAGAGTAAATTTCTTCCCTGACAAAAATTGTCACTGCTCTGTGATTCTATGTCACATCTAACCTCTCACCAGGATAGTGCTGGGAAATGTTCAACAACCTCTTGGGGGCCAAGAGTAGGGTTTGGGCTGCTCTCTTGTGTTTGTCTACTTCATCCACCATGGTCAATTCCAAGATGCCATCATGAAGTTATAGAACTTTCGAGTGGAAAAGGAAACACAGTGACTCTCTACAGTCCATTCTAGCCAGCTCCAACAGGGAAACATTTACCGAAACATTTACATCTGCTTTGTGCAGGGCACTGCCTTCAAGTACTGTAGCACTGTAGCACTGTCCTCCCATTGCACATCGATTTGCTCAAGCGGGCACCAGTAATGTCTCCATTATGAGACTTGTTGTTGCTATTTTTGGCATATCGAATACGCCACTGGGAGCTTGCCAGGCTCTCTTGCAGGATACTCTTGGTAGCTTGCTGTGCTTCCCGAGAGGGACGGAGAAATCGAACCTGGATCGACTGCATGCAAGGCAAATGCCCTACCCGCTGTGCTATATCGCTCTAGCCTTCAACTACTACAGCAGTTATATCCTTTTATGGAGGATCTTCATTACTCCGTGGGGTGCAAGTTCCAGACTCCAGATTAAGGACGGCTTCTCACTACACTGTGGTTGCAGGTGTAGGAATTGTTCTCTGAGTATATACTTAAGTCTCTGTCTTTTCTGCCCTGTTGACTATAGAGCTTATGAAACACTGCAGTTTTGCCTCTAAATTCTGCACTCAGTTTAGGGTTAAGGTAGAAAGCCTTTTAGGAAAGATTTCCCTCCCTATACCTCATCAGATGGTTTCAGATCTTCTGCTCTATTGGTAAGAGCTAGAGGCACTTCACACACGAAGCTCAGGGTCTCTGGGTACAGGGGTACAGTGAATAATATAATGGCAAGGGCTGGAGTGATAGTACAGCAGGTAAGGCCGGGTGCAATCCCTGACATCCCATAAGGTCCCCCAAGCACCGCCAGGAGTAATTGCTGAGTGCTGAGCCAGGAGTAACCCCTGAGCGTTGGTGGGTGTGACCCAAAAAGAAAAAAATAAAAAGAAAAGAATGTAATGGCAAGATCAAATACCACTGAGCTAAAATCCCAGGAGGTGACCCACCTGTTTAGTAGATAGTAGGTATTGAGGAACTTTTTCAAAAACTTTAACAACAGTGAGTCAGATAAGATTCCTCTTATAACAGAACCAAGGTTCCCTTAAGTTCAGCTCATGATCAAGGAAAAATATTTAAAAAATAAATGATGCAGAAGGTAACAGTGGACCCCTGCCCATGCAGACAGAACCCGATTCCACTCCTTTGTCTCCTCTGGCTGCTGTTCACACTGTTTCCTGGCTATAACCCAATTCTGCTTTCTCTCTTTCCTAACTTTCCTTCATCTTTCCAGATGCAGGACGCTATGGGCTATGAGTTACCCTGGGTGTATTTTGTCAGTCTGGTCATCTTTGGATCCTTTTTCGTTCTAAATCTGGTTCTCGGTGTGTTGAGCGGGTAAGCTGACTATTTCTATGTCCTCTTTACAACGCAGCTGAGCAAGGGCCCAGGTTCCACTGTCTCCATCACCAGGATCCTCAGGGATGAGACCCTAACAGACCCAGGAAAAACAGACAAAAACGGTGTCCATTAAACCCCAAATTCTGACCCCTTGACTGGCAAGCTGTTTGGCCTCTAATGTGCTCCAGGAGGGTCCTTGGGTCCCAGTGCTGTTGGGTCAGTGTCTGGGAGTGGGCAGTGGGCGCTTGGCCATGCTCAGCTGCTGAGTGTGCCCCACTAACTATCATTCCATTCTTCCAGGTCAATGATGCCGTAGGAAGGGACTGGCCCTGGATCTATTTTGTTACACTAATCATCATAGGGTCATTTTTTGTACTTAACTTGGTTCTCGGTGTTCTTAGCGGGTAAGCAGGACCAAGGAAAAAGGTCTTGATTTTTCCATTTATTTTATTTACTCTTTGTACTATTCCTGGCTTTCTTCTTTTTCTGGCTCTGATGAACCTGGGATAAGGGGTCACCTGAGGAGCCTTGAAGTGAATGTCCTTGGCCTGGCTGAGCAGAGGGTCAACAAGTACAATCCGTGGGTTAGGGTTTCACCCTGAGACATATAGTCTCACCTGGCTCTCATCAGCTCACCCAAAACCCCACTGCCCCCAAGTCACTGTTCAGTGGGCAGGTGCTTTACCTTGTACCTCCAGAGTAGCTTAGTGATACTGTTGAAAGGGAGCTTGGAAGTAGGAATTGGAGAGTCCTAGTTTGTGTGCTTTGAACATACACTTTGCCTGTTCACTTGAGCCAGTCACAGTTGGTAACAGACTAACAGCAAAGATTTTAGATCACCCTTCATTGGGTGTGGAGCACGCCCAGAGTAAGAATTGGATTTAGAAGATAAATAAATACATCCTTGCCTCTGATTTATAGACTGAGTATTCCACCTCTGCGATTCACTTTTCTGATTTGAAAAGTGAAAAATGCTGTTTAAAGCCATATGCTATTTATAAATAGAGGAGATGGAATTTATTTTGCTTTTCAGGCTTGTAGTTGGTGACAAGTATCAAATCTACCAACTTTCAGCCTTTTCTCAGATGAAGTAAAAAAGAGGCAGACAGAGGATCGGGTTGGAGTCCCTGATAGCATTTGGGAGGCTATTGTCCACCAGGGAGTCTCATTGAATATCCTCAGCTCTAATTCTTCCTCCAGAGTTCATGCCAGCCACACCAAAGCCTAACACCTAAATGCTCCTGGTGACAAGCTCATGGGTGTTCACTCTGCTGCCTTTGCTATGCTGGGAAGGGGACAATCTCTTCAGCTCCGCTACTTTGAATAACCTTTCCTAAATTTCTAGAGACATATGGCTGGGACAAAATCATATATAAGGAGAGAGTTTGCTCTTCCTTTTTATTCAGTATATGAATAACTACTCCCAACCTCCTGCTTCAGTCTAATAAAATGTAGGAGTCTTGGAAATTGGGTGAAGGAAGGATTTTATTTTTCCTTACCCCTTCTTGTGGAATGTGACCTGTGAATGACCATGCCAACACAATGCTATTTGCTAAAGAAAAGTCCCTCAGGATGAGCATACCCTTGAGGAAAGGTAAAGCTAATGAGTAGGACAATATAATCTCATGATTAGTTGCCTGGAAGGCTTTCCTATTTATGTCCCAACACAAGAAAATGTCCCTGTGTCTATTTGTGAATATCCAAGAAACAGTGGAAAAAATTCACTTCATCACGCCTACTCAAGATAGAAGTTAACTCTGCCCTTGCTGGATACATCATATTGGACACTGCCACCTTTGAAAAGTGTAACATGTAGTTACGCATATGACAGAAAGAATATTATACCAACCTCCATGTTGTTGCAATGTAGATTTAGATCATTTGTGTAACTACCTCACAAACAGTAGGTACTGGACAATGGACTTATCATGACAATGATCATAGTTCACGGGGTGCCTGGCATCACTAGAATTATCATATAAAGTCATCAAATACTAGAACTACTTCTGCCCTTTTTAAGGTGAGGCACATGAGCTCAGGGATGTTATATGATTTGTAAAATGTCAGCCCAGGGCCTGAATCCAGCACGGCCTGGTTTCTCCTCACTTCCCAGTAAGACAGACACACAGTGCTTGAGTTTGAACTTATTAGTTCAATCCCCTATGTTGAACCATTAAAATGTGAAATTCTTTCCCAAGAGGTTAAGAACATATCTGAGCAAGTGAACCTCCTCCCTGTCAGAATCTAAAATGGAGAGTGAATAGCACTAGACTGGCAGGACCCCACTGAAGCACAGTAACTGCCCACATTCATTTTTTTTGCCTCCCACACAAATGCAAACATTTTTCTTCCTGGTGGTCTCAAAGCTGAAAAGTGAAGTGACAGCTACTGTTGGTGAGCCATATCTTGGCCTGACTCAATCCCAATAAGATGGGTTGTATATAAACATCTACCATAACATGTCATAATACTCAGAAAAGTTAGTTGATTTTGAAAAGGCACTTTAAGGACTCAAAACCTTTTAAACTAAGAGTCTTTGGTCTCTCCTGAAGACTGTCCTGACACCTACTTCCCAAGGCCTTGATTCCCAAGGCCTGTTCCCTGCAGTTCCAAGAGATTTTCTAGAACATCTCTCCAACCCTGATTAAAATCAGGCCTTCTGCCTGAATAAAGAAGGCCTGTGGGCAGGCATCTACCTCCTTGGCTTCAGAAGGCCTCTTACAAAATATCAAGAGAACTGGGGAGGGCTGCCCTAGTTCCATGTAGTGACCAAACCTGAAATCGGATTCCTGTTGGCTCACCACAGGGCAAGAGTTGTTTCAGTTTGCAGTCAGTTTCTTGGCTAGTCAAGAAGCAACGTAATAGTCATCAAAAGAATACTAGTAGAATGTTTACTCATTCATTCATCAGACTTCTGATTTAAGGCAAGCTTTGGAAATCACTGAAAAAAGTTTCTTAGTACTCTAAAATTCACTAACAATGGGGCCAGAGGGATAGTACAGTAGGTAGAGTATTCACCTTGCATGTGGCCAACCTGAGTTCAATCTCTGGCATTCTGTATGTCTTCCAAACACTGCCAGGGGTAATTCATGAGTAAAGAGTCAGGAGTACCCCCTGAACATTGTCAGGTGTGGCCCAAATCAAAACCAAAAAAAAAAAAAAACAAGCCCCAATAGCTTTAATAGTAACCAGCACTCTCAATATCAGGCTGTGTGGTTGGTTATTTAGGAAGATGAGATCAATTATTACTCAAAGAACCCCTACGAGATAGAATTATTCTACTTCATTTTACAGAAAAGAAATGAGATCTTGAGGGAAGTACCTAAATTTTAACAGGTGAAAATAGGAAACCCAGGATTATACCTGAGCAACTTGAATCCATAGCCTCTACTCCAGGTGATGTTGTCCTCAGAACCATTGGTTAGTCCATGTTTTTAAATTTTAGTCAAGAAGTGAGGAAGGTAGGAGTAGAAGATTCGAGGAGGAAGAGAAGCTTTGAGCAGAAGTGACCTAAGTGCAGATAACTGGAAACAGGCGATGGGGAAGAAAGGATCCTGTGGGGAACCACCGGGATGGCTGAAACACTAGCTGGGGAAAAGTTGGGCATCCCTAAAGATCTTCCCAGTTGATGAGGGAGCAGTCTTCCACACAAAAAGCACCATAGTCTTGAAGTATTCTGGAAGTGAGTGTCATAAAATCCATCAATTAAGGATAATATTTCACAGCCAAGCTCAGTAACTCATTATCATAAATTATGTTTTTCAGTCACTTAGGTAAGGTTAAATGTGCTTAGGATGGTCTTCTCCTCAAAGGAGGGAAGAGGATGTGCTTCCACTTCAAAGGCGGGAGTTCAGAGGTTTTGGTCACTGAGGGTTTGGCACCCTTTATCTGGGCCATTCATCCAGAACACCTGACATGTGCATTTGTCCAAAGGTGTTTCATGTTCATTAACTGTTGGTCCTCATAAGCCACAGGACTAATACAGCTAAGAATATTGTTACATTTACTTTCCCCTTCAGAAATCACTATCTCTGCCCTATTAGAATTAAAATAGCGATGAAGTGATTCTCAATTTTGCACTTGGACCTGGAATCCAGTGGAAGTTCCCAGACTCTGGAATCAGGTTCCTTTTGGTTTTTAAGTGAGCTGGGGCCTCTTCGATGTATTATGGATTGTCATGTAGACTTTTTTCCAACCAGGAGATGAGCATATCTCTCTCCTTCCAGAAGCTGAGCTTTTACTCCTTGAAAGTGAACTGGAAAGTGTTACCTATGATAACAAGCAGTGTCCAAGTTCAGAAGGAAATGAAAGCAAGGCTGTACATCTACCTGCCTTGTGGAAGTGGCAGAAGAGGTGACCCTGTAGAATCAATTCATAATTTTCCAGGTGTTCAGTGATCATCTCTAAAGTCATCAAAGACACCAGATTGGCAAATTCTGAACCAGTGCTCTTAGAAGAAACACAAGATTAGTTTCCTGTGAGCCTACGATCTTTTCTGTGTTGTTGTTGTTAGCTAGTCAGAACGTAGACATGTTTGGTGTCTTTCTGTTTAAGGACATCTTACATAATATTATTCACTCACCAACATTGAACTCTCACCAACTACCTCATGCTACATGACACGTGCACTATTTTCTGCTGTCACACCCTGAGGAACACTGGACGGTACTTCAGCACTGTGTTTGGAGTCCATTTCAAATGTAAAATCACTCGCAAAAAGAACAAATAGGGGAAAAAAGTTGAAAAGGTACTAACAGACCGCAGGCAAGGTACTTGCTGCAAGTCTGATCACTGAAATCAGGCAAGCTGTCACCTCATTTGACCCCCGCCGGAAATGTAATCTAGCTTTGTGCCTCTCTGCAAATGACTGCGAAGGCTTCAGAGTGTTGATTTGAGGGTGACATGTAAATTTTAGCATCCAGACCATTTTGCAGATATGAAAACTATGAATAATGAGGATTGACTGTTTTGATTATCTGAGAACCGAGAGCAGGACAGCTGTAGAGATTGGATTTTCTACCTGCACCTCCCTCTGGGCGTGCTTTAAAATTCTGAGCCCCCTGTGTCCCCACTCCTGACCTCGGCTTTAACATTGACCGTTGCTGACAAGAGCTGTGCTCCAGTCTTATGACAAATCCCAACACTGTGACTGACTGTCTAGCAGCCTCCCGTCCCTGTGCCCCACGCAGCCTGTCAGGTTAGTACTGTGTGTCTTCATTAGCTCAGTCCCTGGAGCAAACACGTGGCTGGCATCCAGGTTAGGCAATAAAAGGAGTCAGACACTGCCACTGAGAAAAATCCCTTACCATGAGGGGTCTAGAAGGGGAAACCTCAACTCACTTTTCACACAGCTGCAAACCGGGTTGTGCTGTGCCTTTCATGGGAGCTACAGGGAACCAGTGGGGCATTAGATCTGCCCCAGTGTCAAAAAGATATACCTCTTGGTTTCATCCTCCCCCACTTCCTCTGCCAGTGTTTGTTTGGGATCCCTAGAGGTAGTAAGGATATGGATGACTGGCTTTCATATCACTGGAAGATGCTATAACCCAGGACTGGGTCAGTTGTCCTGATCTAGTTTGATCCCACTCCTGTTCTCCCAGCTCCAGAAGCAGGAGGGGTAGCTGTTTTGTAACTTGGACTCAAACCCACTACAAAATAACCTTGAAGAGCTAAAGTGAACCCTTGGTGAGTTTGAGTCATTTTACAAACCCAAACTCAGGCCACAGAAAAGGAATGAGGGGTGCTATTGTGTATGAGCTGAAAGAGGGTCAAGACAGGGGCCCTGAAAGTGTAGCTGGTGCAGCTGATTTCCTAGGGAGGAAAGTGCTTTGTGAAGTGACTCTCCAGACAGTGAACCAGGGAGGCCTGACACGGGACTTGCCCAGGCCCCTCACCAACAGAAAGGCAGGGAGGGAGCAAAGCAAGTCACAGATCCCATCTTTATTATGGGTTGTCAATCCAGCCCCTTTCCCAGTCATTAAACTCCCTTGGAAGGAAATGGAGATGCCCGCCAGTTGGCAGAAATTCTAAGAAAGTGCAAGTTCAATCCAATTAGAATTGGATTCAATCAAATCTAGGAAGAAAATTCCATCGAAGCCAGAGCATCATTAAGGCAGCAATTGAGGAGAAGTTGTTAACTCGAGAGCCTCTGTGTCTCCCAATTTAAAGTTCCCTAGTTTCAACCCCACTTTCTCATAGAAATGCGAGTGCTGAAATCAGTGCTCTCCTACATGACAAAAACACAATGCAAATATTAGACATGAGGTGTGTCTAGCCACCTGTACATGACTAAGTGGCTTCAGAAGTTGCACCTTAGTTTCCCTGAGATTTGTTGGTGTGTCCTCACTTCAGGGTGCCTTTCCTCTAGAGTATTTGGTGTAAGAAATCTTTCAAGATGGTTTCTGAAGCTTATATCCCCAAATTGGTGAGAATATGAGTCATCATGTCTTTAAGAACTAAAACAGTTCTAGGTATACCAAGATTTCCAGTTCATCTCTCTCTCTCTCTCTCTCTCTCTCTCTCTCTCTCTCTCTCTCTCTCACACACACACACACACACACACACACACACACACACACAAACACACACTCTCTCTATGAACCGAATCATAGAAAATTAGGAAAGAAAGAGCCAAATTCTGTCAGAAATTTTTCAATAGGCTCTTCAAGCAAATCTCAATCAAATTCCAATCCTGCTCATTATTAATTTAAACTGAATGCATCATTTAACTTCCATGTCATTTTGATTTTATATATTTTTCCATTCTGATTAGATTTCCTTTTTAACCAAAAGGGCAGGCCCCAGGACATTTTCTTGTATTTGGAATCCTCATTTATATCTCCATGTGAAAATGAACTGTATCTGTATTAGAAATCCTTCCAGGCATGCTAAAAGGGGCAAATCAAACTAGTAATGATACTAGAGATTGAGGTGATTACATCTCCTGAGTCTTAAATCAAATAGTGAGCTGGTAAATATTGAACAGTTGGTCTTTTGAGGGGGAAAGTCCTGGTCTGAAATATTTGCCCATTTCCATGGTAAAAATAGCCCCATCATGGCCAATTTCAAGCCACCAAGGAAATATCCTTCGAGCCAAGTTGGGAAGTGATGTGCATAGCTGGTGAGTGGACATCAGCACCTCGCTTGTGCTGACACCTCTAGTCACCCAGTGACCTTTGTGAGATTTTTCAGCTGCCACCCAATACTGGAGGAAATGGCAGGTCATGTTACCTATCAGATGTGGAGGCTTTGGGGATCTTTATTTGGGAGAGGTTTCCAGGTCACTGTGTAACAGTCACAACATTGAAAGGCAAAGTCTGTGAGCATAATCCATTAAAAAGGGGGGGGGAGTATATTTTATCCATTCTTTTATACTCTCATTTCCTGTTCTAAGACTGTTCCCTTCTGCCACTTTCCAGCTATGTGAGAGTAAATACAAAATGGGGTGGGAGGGTGACTGGAGAGAGCTCTTTGTGGGAATTAGGGGTGCAGGGGTGGGTTTTTCAGTGCAAAGCAACTAATACTGTGGTTTTCTCTTATCTTCATCTTTCCTTCGTGTCCTGCCCACTCCACTTCTGCAATCCCCTGCCCCTCCCCTCTGCTCTCTCACCAGCGAGTTTTCCAAAGAGAGGGAGAAAGCCAAGGCACGGGGAGATTTCCAAAAGCTTCGAGAGAAGCAGCAGCTGGAAGAAGACCTCAAGGGCTACCTGGATTGGATCACTCAGGCAGAAGACATCGACCCTGAGAATGAAGACGAAGGCATGGATGAGGAGAAGCCCCGAAACAGTGAGCAGCCACCCTCTGTCTTGAGCGGGGTTCTGGGGGAGGGAGGAGGTGGCCATGTGGATGGCACAAGCCTTCCCTATTGGTTTTTCTTGACAATGGGCCTGCCAGCATGGCATTTATCTCCCTGGCTGCGATCTTTGGCTCCGTCTAGAAATTAGGAACAAGTGTCATGAAGTAACAGCTCTCGATCTATAAAGCCTCAGAGTCTTTTCATAATCTTTGCCTTTAAAACATCGTTCAGATCTTGCTCAGCTGCACTCTTTATTTTTTAAATAGGCTATTCTCCATCTCTTTGGCCAGGCTGGGGCGCAGGGGCCAGACTTCCTGCACCAGAACTGCTCAAATGGTGTTATTTATTTATTTATTTGCTTTTGGGGCCACACCCAGCGATGCTCAGGGGTTACTCCTGGTTCTGCACTCAGGAATTAGTCCCGGTGGTGCTTGGGGACCATATGGGATGCCGGGAATCGAACCTGAGCCGGCCTTGTGCAAGGCAAACGCCCTACCCGCTGCACTATCTCTCCGGCCCAAATGGAGTAATTTAAACCAAGAATCTTTCTATGAGACAAGATGCTTAGGGCTTGGACCCTTGATTTTCAAGCACCATTGAACTTTCCTCATAAGATCTGGCTATATGCTAAGTAGAAGGGCTGAGAAAGCCTGGAGGAATTTGACAGAAAACAACCAACTTAGAGAAAGCGGAAAGAGCTCAGTTCTCCATGTGGCACTATTGAACAGCCTGTTGCTCAGGTAGTAAAGGGAGATAATGTTGACTCAGGTAAAGGAAAGACAGCGAGTCATGGAAATTTCACTTTGCATCAGGGTAGCCTTGCTTATGGGTGTGGTCCCTGATAAGCACACAGGAACCTCCTCAGAACTTGTTAGAAGTACACACTCTCAGAGCCCACTCGAGGTGACTGTGTCAGAAGCTCTGGGTTTGAAGAACTCTCTCAGGTGAGTGTGCTGCAAGGTGCACTGAGGACCATAGAGCTTTCTCCAACTCCTCTCTTATCTCATCTGACCTCATCCTTTGTGGCACCACCTGTGCTCTTTCCTCCTCTTTCTGTGTGCTAATGCTCCCCCTTTCATTTTTCTTGTTTGGGTAGATACTTGCTGTCTCCTAAGCACTTAACTTAAAACTGTGTTCCTAAGCACTGAGGATTTAGAACGGCAAAGGAATTGAACAGATCAAGAGGCTGACCAAAAGAAGGTTTCCACTTGTAGTTAGACAGTGAAGGGGAGAAAGCCCATAATGCACTTTAAGTAGATAGGGCAGTGGGACTCTGGGAGACTAATCAAGGGAAAGTGGGGTGCCCACCATTGCTCGAATGCATCTGTCCTTAAGGAGGCCAGAAAGAGCATGGAATAGACAGGAGAATAACCCAGAGGAAAATAATAGTTCTCTGTTAGGAAATTGAAGTATTGGGGGAGTTATGTGTTTTCATATACATGTTAACAAATAGATGTAAACATAGTGAGTTTCACTTCTTGTCATCATTGAGTCAACATTAATGATGCTGGTTTCAAACCTTTCCATCTTCCACACTGGGTTTCTGAGTGTTACGACTCATTTGTCTCTGACTTCTAACTGGGAATCTGAAAGAAGGAGCTGGTACAGAAAGACAGGAAAAAAAGAGCCCACGATGGTAAGAGCAGAATCTCTGCTCCCTCCTTTCAAAGACTGACTTAATATACCCATCAGCTACTCCCTTTTTTTACCAGCTAGGCCCAAGATGCAAATACAAAATTAAAACACATACAAAAAAAACACCCAGCCACCAGGGACAGGTAATAGCATAATTTAATAACTGATCTGCACACTCTACGAAGTAATTTTACAAGTTGGAATATGAAGCCTTTGACGAATTGTAACAGTGGACAATAATGCTATGGAGAATCCTTCTGGAGAAATTTCCAGCAGCTTCAATTGTATTGTTGATGCAATATAGGGTGGTTGGCTTGTGGCACTGAACAGTGCAGTAAATAAATAAATTGGCCTGTGAACCACAGAGAAGCTACCGCTGGAAGATGGAAATGGGGAATCTTGGCTCCTTAAGTCAGAGAGGAACCACTAGTTCTCCATCAAATGCAATGTGTATTCTTCTTCTTAGTATGTTATGAAAAACATTTTTTACCCACTACTTGTTTAGCAGACTGGAGCGATAGCACAGCAGGTAGGGTGTTTGCCTTGCAAGCGGCCAACATGGCTGACCTGAGTTTGATTCCTCCACCCCTTTTGGAGAGCCCAGGAAGCTACCGAGAGTATCTCGCCCACACGGCAAAGCCTGGCAAGCTACCTGTGACATATTTTCCAAACAGTAACAAGTGTCTCAATGGAGACATTACTGGGCCTGCTCGAGCAAATCGATGAACAATGGGAGGACAGTGACAGTGACTTGTTTAGCAGTCACTTTTCATCCTCAAAGCTGCATAGTTGATCAGCTCTCTGCCCAAAGCAAGAGATTCCAAAGAGAAGTGTGATGCTTTCCTGGCTTTCCTATTAAATGAAGAAATCCCAAGGAATTCCCAGTATGGAGTCTTCCTTGCTCTTGGAACAGTTTTCATACATGAGGCTCATCTCCCAACATTTTTGGCTCAACTTTGTGAAGGGCAGGATGAACTTCTTACCCCAAAGGACACAGTCTCTGCCAAGATTTTCCCCCAGCCCAAATATGGATGGACTCGTTATCTGGAGACCATTATTCCTGTCACCTAGTACTAATGACTGGGGAAGCTGTTGGGTCTGTTTATCATACTTATCAACCATGTCCTAGCAGAATAGATTGGGAGTATACCTTCTTTGATTGTAGAAGTGGTAGAAGAACAGTTATAGGGAGATAGGGCAAAGTAACAAGACCTAAAAATAGCAAGATATGCATAGTAAAAAAGACATTTGTAATAAAATCAATGTGAGACTTAGAAATGGAGCCAGGAGAAGAATCCAAAGCACTGTGTCTATTGGGGAAGTTCTATTAAAAGCACAGTTGTTGTGTTCAGATTCTGAAGGAATTAGAGCTCTCATAGATTTGTGGGAAAGACACATCTTTGGCCCAGGAACTATATTCTTATTCTTATTTTCATTAATTCTTTTCTTTCTCTTGGAAATAAGAGGAGAAGTGCTACACAATATATGTGTATTTCAAGTAAAGCATTTTCTTAATCTTTGGTATAATTGCTAAAAGATTATGGTAGAATGTATGTTCCAGTTATTGTCAGATCATAAAGTAGGTGTTTGAAGAAAAAGGGCCATTACCTTTCTTTATCAGTGACTGATGACTTTTGCTTTTAACCTGGGCAGAATCCCTGAGCAGCACTGTGTGAGACGTGGTGAGAGTGGGGGTTGACAAAGCTGTTAACAATGCAGTGACAAACATTACTAGGTAACTAAACATGCAGTTAGGATGCCCCGTTATTTGTTTTCCGGGGAAATCTACAAAGACCACTGAGGAATGAGAGGAAATAGAGGCTGGGTTGACAACAGAGAGAACAGGCATAATTGAGGTTCATTTCCTAAATAAGTGAAGTAATTTTTAAAAATCACAAAAAGAAGTGACCAGTAACCAAAAAATATATTCTAGTTCAGTATTTCTCCACTGGGGGCCAATGCGGCCTTCTGTGGAGACCCAGAATATTCCAAGGAGACAACAGGTAAAAGTCCATGAATGAGGCAAGATTAGGAGGTCTGCCAGTTGGACAGTTGGGTAGGGAAGCAACGGAAGGAAACAGGCCAAAGGATCAAGTCAAAGGAAGATTCAAAGGAGACCATGGTTAGAAAAAAGTCGAGAAACAGCTGTTCTGTTTCATTCAATCTTCCCTCCATTCATCCACCAATTAAAGACCTGAAGTGTCAGGCAATGCTATCAGCACTGGGGGCTGTATCAATGAACAGAGAAATGAAAAAATCTCAGCCTTCATGGAATTTTTATTATTGTGAGGATACAGAGCAGAAAGAAAGGTAAGAAGGCGAGGGAAAACAGAAATAGGTGAGAGGTTATAATTTTAGGTGAAGTGGCTAGGAAACTCCTTGCTGAGGAAGTGAGGAAAGCCTTGAGAAGAGTAAAGAAATGAACCATGTAGCTCTCTGGGGGAAGAGCAGTCATTCCAGGCAACAGAAACAGCCAGCAGAAAGGTTCCAAGGTGAGAGCATGGATGATAGGTGTGAAGACTAGAAAGGAGCCCTGTGTCTGAGGGGAATGGGTAAAGAGGGAGAGGCAAGTGAAGTAACCAGGGGGCAGGTCATGGAAATCACCGGAAGAACTCGGACCTTTATTAGAAACGAGCCAAAAAGTGATTGGAAGTCTGAGCTGAGTAGTGACAAGACAACCGTATATGTATCAGGACTCTTCGCTTCCATGCACAGATGAAGGCCGGGAGCCAGGTGGGAGGTATTGAGGTAGGCGATATGAGAGAGGGCAAAGTGAGGGGAGGACAGTTGTTCTGAACAGCAGTAACTGGGGGTCCTTCAGGACCAGAGAAATAGCTGAAGTAGCAGAGGAAGACAAGCGCCTGAGTTCCATTCCTGGCACTAGGTACTCTCCACCTCTCAGCATGAGCACTTGTGTCCAGTGTCCGTCCCCAAGCATCTCCCTTCCAAGCACAGCCAGGCCGTGCCAAACTGAGCTTTGCTGGGAATAGCCCCGGTTTAAAAGAAAGACAACAAAAAGTGGGCTCGTCATTTACTGATAGAGAAAAGACCACGGTAGGAGTAAAGTGCAGGGCAGGAGTAGCAAAACCTCCCTCTCGGGCCTGTAAGTTTGCAATGCTTGTTAGACATGCAAGCAGCTTGGGGAAGGGGTCTCAGTTGGAGGGTCTGCCCTGCCTGATGTCTGAAGGCTTGGATGAGGAGGCAGAGCCAGCAGAGGAGTCTTAGAGAAGAGACAGAGAGAAGGGAGGGCGGAGGCAGTCTCTGGAGTTGTGCAATCCTGAGGCAATGGCATCTAAGGAGCTCATGAGTGGTCACCCTGAGGCTCAGCAGTGGGGTCAGTGTGCCAGCACCAGAG